TTAGTAATGCTTAAGGTAATCATATAGTTAAGCTACCACAACTAAGGCTTATTCATTCAGAATATCTAATCCTGTGTATCAACAGTAGTGTCGATATTGAAGACAGACATTGTTGGAACAAGTTTGTTCTCTGTGTAGAGCTGTGATAAGTACGATGTGATAAGTACAATTATCATACAATGATGATTATTGCAATGAGTAAAATTATCAGACAATGGAAATACATAGTCAGTGCCTATTTCCATTGGAGTCCTTGGTTACCTCTTGATCCAAGCGTTGAAAAGATTAGTGCCAAAGATGTGGTGGCACGACATACGCAATTAAGATTATGCAAAAGTCAGTGGCATACTCGACATGAGCGTGACATAGATTGGCACCCAGCAGTATAAGTCAAGAGACGCACAGAAAAAGGCACTGTCAAGAGATCTAGTTCAAAGGAACATAGTCACGGTATCGGCCACTAGTTTATATATATATATTGTGAAGATTTAATACATTACCTTGTTGGGAATATCCTGCCGTTTGATGTGATCCTCCGCCATCAATAGAAACTTTAAACGTTGACCTTTTGTTTAGATTGATTATAAAACGTGTAATGTTCCAGTTTTTCAGGTTTATCAGTTTAAATATGTGTCTCACCTTGGTTTGAGATTTTTCCCCTTATGACTCAAAGACTGAAAGCATTTTTGGCGATGTGCTAGTGTACTTGGTTACTGCAGAGGCTAGTGGTAGGTGGTAGCAGTGTGAAGGCTAGTGGTAGGCGGCAGAAGTGTGAAGGGTTGTGGTGATGTGGTGGGTGGCATCAGTGTGGAAGGCTGTGGTGGTGATGTAGAGGTTGGTACTTTGTGGTAGTGTGGGAAATAATGGTTGTGGGGGTTGCTGTGGTGGTGGTGGTTGGAGGGGATTGCGGTGGTAGTGGTGGAGACGTACGTATATACACAGTGACTGGCGAGTGGGAAGATGCTTATCAGAGATCCTTCACCTTGAAACTCATTCTCTCTCTCTCTCTCTCTCTCTCTCTCTCTCTCTCTCTCTCTCTCACTCACACAACACACACAACACACACACCACACACACACACACACACACACACACACACACACACACACACACACACAGCACGGTTTCAGGGACGGGAAATCCTGTGTCACAAACCTACTGGAGTTCTATGACAGGGTGACAGCAGTAAGACAAGAGAGAGAGAGAGGGGTAGGTAGATTGCATTTCTTGGACTGTAAGATGGCGTTTGATACAGTTCCACACAAGAGATCAGTGCAAAAACTGGAGGATCAGGCAGGGACAACAGGGAAGGCACTACAATGGATAAGGGAATACTTGTCAAGAAGACAACAGCGAGTCATGGTACGTGGCGAGGTGTCAGAGTGGGCGCCTGTGACGAGCAGGGTTCCTGGTATTTGTGAACGACGTGACGGAAGGAATAGATTCACAGGTGTCCCTGTTTGTAGATGATGTGAAGTTGGTGAGAAGAATTCAGTCGGATGAGGACCAGGCAAAACTACAAAGGGATCTGAACAGGCTGCAGACCTGGTCCAGAAACTGGCTCCTGGAGTTCAACCCCAGCAAGTGCAAAATCATAAAGATCTGGGAAGGGCAAAGAAGACCGTAGACGGAGTACAGTCTAGGGGCCCAGAGACTACAAACCTCACCCAGGGAAAAGGATCTTGGGGTGAGTATAACACCGGGCACATCTTTTGAAGGGCACATCAACCAAATAACTGCTGCAGCATCTGGGCGCCTAGCAAACCTCAGAACAGCATTCCACCATCTTAATAAGAAATCATTCAGGACACTGTACACCGTGTACTTTAGGCTCATATTGGAGTATGGAGCACCAGTTTGGAACCCAGACCTAGCCAAGCACGTAAGGAAACTAGAGAAAGTGCAAAAGTTTGCAACAAGACTAGTTCCAGAGCTAAGGGGCATGTCCTACGAGGAGAGGTTAAAGGAAATCGACCTGACGACACTGGAGGACAGGAGAGATAGGGAGGACATGATAACGACATATAAAATACCGAGAGGAATCGACAAGGTGGACAGAGACAGGATGTTCCAGAGATGGGACACAACAAGGTCACAGTTAGAAGTTACTCAGATGAATCACAGGGATATTAGGATGTATTTTTTCCAGTCACAGAGTTGTCACGAAGTGAAATAATCTGGCAGGTGATGTAGTGGAGGCAGGATCCATACATAACTATAAGAAGAGGTTTGATAAAGCTCCTGGAGCGGGAAGAGTGACCTAGTAGCAACCAATGAAGAGGCGAGGCTAGGAGCTGTGACTCGATCCCTGCAACCACAATTAGGCGAGTACTATTAGGAGGGTACACACACACACACACTCGCACACAACACTCATCCACCCACACCCACACATTTCCTCTCCCACACCCACACTCGCTACCATCACCCAGTAATTTAGTACAAGCATCATAAGTGCCTATTCCGTGACATCATATACTCTGCCTGACATCACTAGACTCCTCTCTGATATCAACACCGATGGCTACACCTCCTTGCATAAGATGGGAGAAACATCACGAGGGTGAAACATCTGGTATCCCCGATCCACCATGAGGCCTGGTCTCAGACCGGGCCGCAGGGGTGTTGTCCCTCGAAACCTTCTCCAGGTAAACTGCAGGTAAACACCCTTGATTCCGAGAACTGAAATGCCTCTGCAGAAGTCATTTCCCCTATGCATGTGTCAGAACACAGGAAGACGACGTTTCGCTCGGCGTAGAGCTTTACAATTACTTGATGAAGCTGTACACAGAGTAAAATATTGACCCATAAAACTCTGTTCAGACGCACATATCGCCCATCGTGATACTTCTAAATACTGTCCTGGATCTGGAAAAAACACGTTTTCCAGAGGGTTTCTCAATTCGACGTTTAGACCCGTGCTTGGACTACGCTTTGGTCTATGCTTGGACGATGTTTCGATCCGTGCTTGGACTAGGCTTTGGTCTATGCTTGCACGATATTTCGATCCGTGCTTGGTGGCCTAGATCCCAGGACCGAAATGTATTCAAGGCGCTCCCAGTTTTAAATATATGCAACACCTGTGTATCTATTGCGAAGATGTTTGGGTAAGAAGTGGCATTATCAGTTAATTACAGTGGTTATTTGACTAATGAAATGGGAGAGAGTAATCAGTCCCCGAGTCCTAGATGCCGCCGAGTCCTAGATGCCGCCGAGTCCTAGATGCCGCCGAGTCCTAGACGCCGCCGAGTCCTTTGTCTGATGGATGTGAAATAGACAGGAAGATGAACGTTGTATGCAATTATTTCTGATTCGTTTGATGCATCTCATTCCACATAGGAGTTATCCACAAGAAAGGAATCTAATTCCATAATTTTTTAAAGAGGTGGATTGGTAAGCCAGTGGAAGGCCTCGATTAGATGACCAAAAACTCCAGCTGCGGGTCATCATGTGACTAAAGACCCACGTCAGGAAACACTTGTCCTGTTTCCTGACAAAACTGACCTAACCTAACCACTCTCCTTTCATAATTTGTTTCCTATTCTCCTCTTCGCTTTTCCTCCCTCTCCGTCAATTCTTCGCCTTTTTTTCCCTTCCATCCTTCAACCCTCTCCCCTCTAATATTCCTGCCTTAGACTGGTAAGAAAGTAAAAAGTACACCAATTGCCTCTTGGCAAGCAGAAGCTTGGACGCCTGCATCAATATTTGTATGTGTGTACTTACCTATACGGTTGCAGGGGTCGATTCACAGCTCCTCTGTGTACTCACCTAGTTGTACTCACGTAGTTGAGGTTGCAGGGTTCGAGTCCTAGCTCCTGGCCCCGCCTCTTCACTGGTCGCTACTAGGTCACTCTCCCTGAATCGTGAGCTTTATCATACCTCTGCTTAAAGCTATGTATGGATCCTGCCTCCACTACATCGCTTCCCAAACTATTCCACTTGCTGACTACTCTGCGGCTGAAGAAATACTTCCTAACATCCCTGTGATTCATCTGTGTCTTCAACTTCCAACTGTGTCCCCTTGTTGCTGTGTCCCATCTCTGGAATATCCTGTCTTTGTCCGCTTTGTCAATTCCTCTCAGTATTTTGTATGTCGTTATCATGTCCCCCCTATCTCTCCTGTCCTCCAGTGTGGTCAGGTCGATTTCCCTTAACCTCTCCTCGTAGGACATACCCCTTCGCTCTGGGACTAGTCTTGTTGCAAACCTTTGCACTTTGTGTGTGTGTGTGTACTCACCTACTCACCTAGTTGTGTGTGTGTGTGTGTGTGTGTGTGTGTGTGTGTGTGTGTGTGTGTGTTGTGTGTGTGTGTGTACTCACCTATATGTGTGGTTGCAGGGGTCGATTCATAGCTCCTAGCCCCGCCTCTTCACTGGTCGATACTAATTCACACTCACCCTGCGCCATGAGCTTTATCATACCTCTTCTTAAAGCTATGTATGGTACCTGCCTCCACTACATCACTTTAGAAACTATTTCTCTTCCTGACAACTCTGAAGAAATACTTCCTAACATCTGTGTGTGTGTGTGTGTGTGTGTGTGTGTTTGTTTGTACGTACTCGCCTAGTTGTACTCGCCTAGTTGTGGTTGCGGGGGTCGAGTCACAGCTCCTGGCCCCGCCTCTTCAACTGGGTGCTACCCGGTCACACTTCCCGCTCCGTGAGCTTTATCATACCCCTTCTTAAAGCTGTGTATGGAGCCTACCTCCACTACATCGCTACCCAGGCTATTCCACTTCCTGACAACTCTGTGGCTGAAGAAATACTTCCTAACATCCCTGTGATTCATCTGAGTCTTCAACTTCCAACTGTGACCCCTTGTTGCTGTGTCCCATCTCCGGAACATCCTGTCTTTGTCCACCTTGTCTATACCTCTCAGTATTTTACATGTCGCTATCATATCCCCCCAACTCTCTTGTCTTCCAGTAACGTGTGTGTGTGTGTATAAATGACCCACACGGTCAAATTATTTTATAAATAGTACAACTTTAATGTTCTTACAGATGGGAGACCACAGCGGCGCCCGAGTGGTACTGGTAGTTGCAAACTTCCTCGTGTTCGCTGCTACCGTCGCTTTAAACCAGCTGTCAGCGTTTCCCCAGTACGCCGGAGGTTAGTACTCTAAAAAAAAGTACTCTTAATTTTTAAAAAGTGCATAGGTAAGCCAGTGGAAGGCCTCTATCAGATGACCAAAAGCTTCAGCTGCGGGTCATCATATAACTAAGACCCGCGTCAGGAAACACTCGTTCTGTTTTTTGACGAGCCTTACATAACTTTACCTTATCTTAAGATAAGATTTTGTTCGGATTTTTAACCCCGGAGGGTTAGCCACCCAGGATAACCCAAGAAAGTCAGTGCGTCATCGAGGACTGTCTAACTTATTTCCATTGGGGTGCTCAATCTTGTCCCCCGGGATGCTACCCACACCAGTCCACTAACACCCAAGTACCTATCTGCTGCTAGGTGATCAGGAGAACAGGTGTAAGGAAACGCGTCGAAATGTTTCTACCCAGCCGGGAATCGAACCCGGGCCCTCCGTGTGTGAAGCGAGAGCTTTAGCCACCAGGCCACCTAACTTAACTGTAAAGGGCGTCCCATAAGTCTGGAACTACATGGAAGGAGGGGAAAAAAGGGGAAAATAAATGGCTTTTATTCATAGAACGTGTTTAATATGTCCATTATTATTTCTGATAAATGTACAATAAATATCCTGTCAACATGTATAGAACATGACTAATAAGTACATGTCTGTAGTGGGTGTTTACTTATTACAAAGGTTTGTACTCCACTACATGGTTGTACTCCTCCTTTCTTCATTGGACAAGAAGTTAGTACAGATGCTACCCTACTTACGAACATTCGAGTTACGAACATTCGGACATACGAGCAGACTGTACAGAATCAGTACATTACTGATATTGTACAGTATTGTCTTTAAGTTTTCAGCGAACAACGGCACAGAGAAAGAACAACAATAATGATAATATTGAAAACAATCGTAACAATAGAAAAATGGCAAAATAACGACTAACGAACAATTCAAGATACGAATAGCCTTCTGGAACGTAACTTGTTCGTAAGTTGGGGGGGAGTCTGTACTCCCTTACATTGTTGTACTCCGTCTTTCTTCATTAGACAGGAAGTTAGTAAAGGTTCGTTTAACACACAAAGAAATAAAAATTTGCATAACGTCTGAAGTGTTTTCAAGGGGAGACGAGCCTAGTGTGGATGCCACTTAGTGGTGTCATCCCTTAACTTGATATTGCCAAATTAAACCAATAATAACCACTTAGTCTAGCGCTCACTTCCGTTATTTGATTATGCAAGATATCAATCTTAGGATGATTGAGCTCCTGGCCTCCAAATTACTCCAAAAATTGCAAAATTATTATTCTCTCCCTCCCCTCCTTTGTGATTACATCAATATTTTGTATACAGACCACGGAACGGATGGGGACTGAACCCATGGCGAGTAAGTTGTAAAACACCCTTGATGCCGGTGAAGGGCTCTTGATGTAAGGGTTTGTGATGATTTCTTCCTTCCATTGAACTTGATTGCCTCCCAATCAGGTCCAGTGTTGCAGTCTGCCACAACACAATGCATCTGCAGTAAGATGTCAACTGACTCTATTGAACAAGTAGTTGAATGAGTTGTTGTAGATTTAGCCGTTGCGGTTTTAGCTGTTGCAGTTTTAGCTGTTGTGGTTTTAGTTGTAGTTTTAGTTGTAGTTTTAGTTATAGATTTAGCTGTTGTAGTTTCCGTGGAAGGAGTCATTGCCCCTGCGTCTAGGCCCGAAACTAGGCTTCTTAGTTGACAGCCTGATCAATCACACTGTTGCTTACATTACACAGCTCAAAATAGTCACTACAGATGGTGACATCAAAATAAGACTCACATATTTGCAAAGGTTACTAGCCATGGGTTGTCGTGGGTTTAATCCCCGCCCGTTCCGTGAACTGTTACTGGTTTATCATAGTTAAATGGAATTAAAATGATTATGCTGGAAGCTTCGTTAATTAAACCAAGTTTTATGCTTCTTGGGATCAAATCAGTGTTTTTTTTTTATTTAAAATTAGGAAGAGGAAGACAGTTTTTTAATTATTCATTGGGGTCTTATTTAGGCCTTTCCCAGGATGCAACCTTCAGCAGTCCACTTAACTCCAGGTTACGTTTTGTTGCATAACAGGGACTCCAAGGGTCTCTGATAATGGTATAATATACCGACAAGTTGAGGATTAAGTCACATGTTGAAACGTTGAAACGTTTCGCCTTCGGTCAAATACAGAGGGATCAGGTATAGGAGTGGAATAGAGAGCTCAACTCTTCTCCAAGGTTGATGGACTGATTACAGCATCTTTTCACTACTACACCTGCTGCCTCTGTATTTGACTGAAGAAACCTACTGTGTAGGCCAAACGGTTCGTCAGTAATGATACCCAGGTGTTGTACATGTGTCTTAATTTTGGGGGACACCAGGTGTTGGAAGACCTGCGCTCACTGCCTTGAGAAATGGTATAGTGACACCCACAAGACGTGCAGAGAGAGACGTACAGTTGAGGATCTTCATTGTAGGAAAAGTTTCGCCCCGAGTGGCATCTTCAGTCCCAATATAGACATAACTAAGAAACATAAGAACATAAGAATGTAGAAACCCTGCAGAAGGCCTACTGGCCCATACGAGGCAGGTCCTTATCAAAACGACCTCTACCTAAAGCTACCCAAGAAATAACTCCCGTACCCCATGACACCAATCAAACCCAGCCACTCATATATTTGTCCTGTCTCTTCTTAAAGCTACCCAAGGTCCTAGCCTCTATCACCCCACTGGGAAGACTGTTCCACGCATCTACAACTCTGTTAGAAAACCAGTACTTACCTATGCCTTTCTAAATCTAAATTTATCCAACTTGTATAGTAGCATGAGTGAGGTGGAAAGCTGCGAGGGTGGTAGTAATAGTAATACTACTAGTAGTAATAGCAGTACTACTAGTAGTAATAGTAGTACTAGTATATACGTGTTTGTTTCACAACTTACTGCCTTGTTAAGAGGGTCTGACTAAGTAAGTAAGTAAGTTTATTCAGGTATACACAAATACAGTTACATAGAATTATCATACATAGCAGCATATGTGTAGAGAACCTGGGATAACCCAAAAAAGTCAGACAGAGTGACTTATTTCCATTGGGGTCCTTTTACCTTATTATTATAATATAAAGGTTATAATATTTTCTTATTATTCTACAATGAAGATAACATCTTATTATCATACTAAAAAGACTATCTACTACACCAAGGTCATTAAGACTATCTACAATACGAGGGTCATTACTAGGAATAAGGTAAAATTTACACGTATGTTAGCTGAAGATTGAGACACTTATGCAGCATATGGGAAACTTGTTCAACCTTTGGACGAAGGCCTACTTCGACTAGTGGATGGTACCACTATGACCCCGCCTCCGCCTGCTTCACCTCACCTCACTACAGTATATAAGCCACGTCTACGGCCCTATGCTGTACATTCTACAAGATTGATGGACTGAACACATCGACTCCAGGTTGAGGGACTGATTACCTCATTCTCCTCCTCTCCTTACGCCTTCCTCTTTGTATTGGACTGATGAAGCCACTGTGTGGCGAAACGTTTCCTGAATAAAGATTCCCATATGCTGCATAAGTGTCTCAATCTTCAACTTGTCGGTTTTTCAAACCATTCATCACACACGTATGTTAGCTAAAAAATAGAAAATCATTCCCCTCCCTTTCTGTAGCTACATTCATCAGACACCTTTTGGCAGTCTTCTTGAACTGGTTCATGCTATGACTGGCTTTGACATGTGCGGGCAGTCTGTTCCATTCCTTTATTGCTGTACAATAAAAGGTGTTTGAAGCCTGGCCACTGACTGTGGGTACTACAAAGTTGTGCTCTCTCCCCCTAGTACTATGATTGCTTTGGTTCCCAACCTGACAAAATTGACAGCAAGATATTCTGGACATGTTTGGAGCAATTTTATAAACATGATTTAGCTTCAGTTGTTTTACCTGTCTTCAACATTCAGCATATCAACTGCTGTAATTCATCCTGGCCTACATGTTCTCTTGGTCCCAGCCCCAGGATGAATCTTACGATTTTGTTCTGGGTGATTTGCAGTCTATCTTTCAGTTTTTTTGTCAAGGCAGAGTACCAAGAAGAGCAAGCGTAATCCATATGGCATTGTATAAGGGCTAGACATAGGGTCCTGCGAGCCACAGTAGGTAGACACTGTGCTTGTCTATACAGGAACTTCAGTCTGGCATTCGCTTTCTTTACTACACTGTTCCCTATCAATTCTCCTGACATGCATGGGTCAAAGGGGATTCCCGAATATTTTACTGATGAAACCAAAGTGATGGGCTCCCCATTACATTGAACATTAAAATTATTTACCCTTCTCAGTTATGTTTCGTGCCAAAGAGAATGGCTTCAGTTTTCCCTAGGTGTAATGATAGTTTGTTGTCTACTAACCATTTGCTGCAGGACTCCAGTTCCAGTGTTAAAACATTAGCAATATCTTGTGGGTCTTTACCTGTCAATAACAGAGCACTGTCATCTGCACTGTCACCTACATGGGTTATCAGCTCTCTCTGGGTTAGAAATCCGAGTAACTTCTTTCTGATAGTCACTGGAGGGCGAAACGTCTACAATAAAGATACCCAGATGTTGCACACATGTCTAATTTTTCAGTCTGTTGACACCTGCTGTCCCTGTTCACCTGTCAGTTTAAAAAGTATCTTGACGCAGGTGAATTATGCAAAATCATTATGATCATAACCGTAATTTATAAAGGAATGGTAAGCCAGCGGAAGGCCTCGGTCTAATGACCTAAAGCTTCAGCGCGGGTCATTATATGACTAAAACCCGCATCAGGAAACACTTGTCCTGTTTCCTGACTAGGGTCAGGAAACAGGACGTTTCTTAATCTTGATGTTGGTAGACTGTTGTGGGTAACATCCTGAAGACTGGCCTTTGAGATGAGATGAGGTACGATGCTCCTCTTAATCTGTAAATTGAAGTCTGTAAAGACGTGAGTGTAGTGACTGTGGCTGGTTAGTGGTGGTGATTCTTTACAC